CGGAGTGAAAGAGCATGAATGGGGGTGGAGGGGCAGAGGGAGAGGGAGAAGCAGGCTCTCCACTGAGCAGTGAGCCCGATGCGGGGCTCGATCCCAGGACCCCGATGTGGGGCTCAATCCCAGGAGCCTTAACCAACTGAGCCACGCAGGTGCCCCCAGAGTATGTACCCTTGGGCAAAGGAAACCAGACACATAATGTTTCAGAGATTCATCCCTGACCTTGCGTTCACCAGCCATATTGTCCCTTTTTATTGCTGAGACGTGTCCCGTTGGACGAATACTCCCCCTGTCTGTTTTTAAGCTGATGTTTTTACGTCAGCATGTGTGCGGGGCTCCTTTTTGTTCTGTTCCTTAATCCTCAAAACAGTCTCACAAATAGGAACTGCTCTTCTCCCCCATTTTACAGATAAAGAACTGAGACCCGGAAGGATTAAGTCAGTAGCCCAAGTCGATCTACTTCAATGGCCCAGAAAGCCATTTAAACCTAGGTCTGTCTGACACCTCACTCCACGGCCTCTCAGGGAGTCTGCATGGAAGGGCTGGGTGAGCCATCAAAGGAGGAATGATAAAGGGGCACATATTTGAGAACTGCAAAACATGGATGCATACATACACAAATACAGACACTCCTCGTTTTTTTTAAAAAAAGTTTGATATATTTAAGTAATCTCTGCACCCAATATGGGGCTTGAACTCATGACCCTGAGATCAAGAGTCCCATGCTCCTCAGACCCAGCCAGCCATGCGCCCCCAGACACACCTCATTTTATAGTGCTTAGATACTGCCTTTCTTTACAAATGAAAGGTTTTGGCAACCCCTTGTGGAGCAAGTCTACATTTTTCCCACAGCTTTTGCTCACTTCCTGTCTCTGTGTCACATTTTGGTAATTTAGTGTAAACATAACTTTTATACGCACCAAGAAAACAAATTCATTGGGCTCGCTTTATTGCGATAATTCATTTTGGTGTGGTGGTCTGGAAATGAACCTACGATATCTCCACGGTATGGCTGTATGTAAATAATTAGATAATAAATAAATTAAAAGTAAGTAAATAAAGAGTTATTTGAGTTAAAATAGCTTTTTTGGGGAGGGCGCCTAGGTGGCTCAGTGGGTTAAGCTTCTGCCTTCAGCTCAGGTCATGATCCCAGGGTCCTGGGATCGAGTTCCGCATCGGGTTCCCTGCTCCGCGGGAGCCTGCTTCTCCCTCTGCCTCTCTCTCTCTCTCTCTCATGAATAAATAAATAAAATCTTTAAAAAAAAAAAATAGCTTTTTTGGGGTGGGCGCCTGGGTGGCTCAGTGGGTTAAGCTTCTGCCTTCGGCTCAAGTCATGATCCCTGCCTGGGTCCTGGGATCGAGTCCCCACTTGGGCTCCCTGCTCAGTGCAGAGCCTGCCCTCTCCCTCTGCCCCTGCCCCCCACCCCTAGCTCCTGTTCACTGTATCCTCTTTCTCTCAAATAAATAAATAAAATCTTTAAAAAATGATAATAAAATAGATTTTTTTTAAAAAAAGATTTTATTTTTAAATAATCTCTGTATCCAACATGGAGCTTAAACTCACCACCCTGAGATCAAGAGTTGCATGCCCCACGATGGAGGTGGCTAGGCGCCCCTAGGAAGGTGGCTTTTAAACTGGGTCCCAACGTCCCTGGCCCCCAGGGCCCTCAGCCCAGGTTCAGGATCAGGTTCAAGCCTAGCGGAAATGTTCAAGGGGGCCTTGGCTACTCCCACCGGAATGACCAGAGACAACAGAAGGCTCTCGGAACAGTTAGAGAATTGGACTAACAAGCACGAAAGCCAGGGACATACAGTGTTACGGTTATTTTGCTTAATTATTTTTTCTTTCCTTTTAAAAAATCTTAAACATAAAGCGTCCTTCGAAGAAAAATAACTCTGAAGTGAATTGGCCACCATTCCCTATGCAGAAGCACAGATAAGATTCTGTTCCTTAGGGCGCCTGGGTGGCTCAGTTGGTTAAGCAACTGCCTTCGGCTCAGGTCATGATCCTGGAGTCCCGGGATCGAGTCCCACATCGGGCTTCCTGC